GTTTTGATGCCAGACTTTATTCTTATTTATGCATAGCTACACCAGTGTTTTATGATGCTTTCATCTATGTTGGTCTGGTCTCAACAATTAGACTATACTTCTTCAAGACAGGAATCACACAGACTACAATAAATGCTAATAAATGCACAGCTGTCAAAAGTGCTGGTGTTAGACACTCCCAATGCTATTTTTGCAGCCAGTTAAGTTGACTAAAACTGGGGAGGGACTTGTTGATTTAAAGGGCAAAACAATGAAGGCTGTTTCGTTGTAGGCAGGCCTCTGAAAGCGTGGTGCTTTGCCGCTGTAGTGATGCCTCTGCCACAGCCAGGTTACATGCCTCAGGGAAAGATCCTGACAGCCAGGGACAGAAGGGACCTCTGGATGGAGTGCTACCACTCTCACGGCCTCCGAGGTGCTACTCCCAAGGTGGCCAGGAGTGCAGCCCCCATTGCCTCCTCAGGTGTCCTGAGAGTCCCCTGCCCTCCCTCGCCAGGAGTGCCCTCCTCCATCCTCTCCAGTCATGGAAGCGAGTCCTACTGTCCTCCTAGCATGGATCTGCCTCTTTGTCCTTGGGCCACCTTGCTTTCTTTCTCTGTACCACCGGTGCGCGGGCAAATCCTCAAGCCTATACCCAGAAGTTTTAAGGCCCTTAACAGACCCTACAGCCAGAGTAAATGAAGACAGGCACATCTGCCTGAGAAGGCTGCAGTAAGTCAGGATACAGTAGGGAAACTAGGCAGGCCAACCCTCAAACACATTTTTTTCCCATTTAATCTGGAGATTTACAAATCATCAGTGTATAGTCAAGTCAATAGTGTGGAGCAATGCCAATAAAAAAGCTGAGGGTAAACTTGCAAAATGAAGTAAGCTACTTGCTATTTGTTAAGCAGGATATATATATATATATATAAAACGGCCCTATGCATCTTGCCCTATGCAATAACTCTACCACTGAACTATATCCCCACCTATTGCTATAAGCCTACAAAATCGTATGAGGACTATCCTCCAATGGTCTTTAAAAAGACGATGCCGGGTGTAGTGGCGCACGCCTGAAATTCCAGCACTCAGGAGGCTGAGGCAGGAGGATTGTTGCGAGTTCAAGACCAGCCTGGGCTACAAAATGAGCTCAAGGCCAGCCTGAACTGCATAGTGAGACCTTGTCTCAAAAAGACAAAAAAACAAAACAAAACAAAACAAAAAACAGACAATGCTGGGTGTGGTGGCTCACGTTTGTAATTCCAGCAGGCATGATTTTAGAATATTACTTAATTCTAAAACATCCCTTTATGGTGGAATTTTTTTAAGAGGCAGGGATCTCACTATGCTGACCAGAAATTCCCGGGTTTAAGAAATCCGTCTTCCTCACCCTCTCAGGCAGCTGGGATTACAGATGCGAGCCACCACACCCATAAGATTTTTCGCTGGTTCACAGAAATAATAAAAGCATCTTCAAGCTTCAAAGTTCTGATCGAATTGCTGTGCATAAGCCCTAGAGCAGACCTCTTGGGTGTCTGAGCCCGGCAGCTGCAGAGGACCAGCAAAAGTGAAATGGCCAGTGTGGTCTAAAGGGGGCAGACTGAGCCACCCCGAAGGCAGTCATGATTGTACTCCTGACACCGAGTGCATTGCCTGGGCCCTGGCAGGCACTTAACAAGTACTGAATTAAATTAAATTTCCTAAAACCAAGAATGCAGAGCTGACTTTAAGAGGAAACATCTGCAAGTGCTTACCTCTATAGGGTCAAATATCACTGCAGGTACAGCCACATTGTTCATCTTTGCAGCTTTCTGGATGATGTCTTCAGCCTCTTTAAATCTTTTCTGGGATATCAGCCACCGAGGAGATTCAGGAATAAACCTAGAATTCATTTTCAGTAGTTAATGATTTTTCACAACAGTAGCGGGTGGTACTGGTATTTCTCAGACACTCTTAGCCATAGACACTGTTATCTAGATCCTTTTAATTTTGAAAACTTCTAGTTTGTCTTTAGTTAAAATTTATTCATTTACTATTTCTTTGTGGTACTGGGGATTGAACCCAGGGCCTCATGCATGCTAGACAAGTGCTCTACCACTGAGCTACATCCCCACCCCTATATTTTTAGTTTTAATTGACACATAGCAATTATATATATGGCTGAGGTGCAGTGTGACATTTCAGTGCATGCATACAATGTGTAATAAACAGCTGGTCTTGTTTGTTTGAAACAGGGTCCTACTGTATAGCTCAGGCTGGCCTTGAACTCACTATGGAGCCCACGTTGACCTCTAACTCTCAGTGATCCTCCTGCCTCAGCCTCTAAAGTGCTGGGATTACAGATGTGCACCACCACATCCGGCATACTGGGTCATAGGTGTGTGCTGCTGGACCATTAGGAGGGAGTCCTCATAAGATTTTCACTGGCTCATAGAAATAATAAAAGCACTTTTAAGTTCCAAATTTCTGATCAAACAGTGCATAAGCCCCGAGCAGACCATGACGGTGACCTTCACTGTGGAGTGTCTGAGCCCAGGAGCTGCAGAGGACCATCGAGAGTGGGATAGCCAGTGCGGTTCTAAAGGGCACAGTCCCTGGACTGTAAGGGCCCCAAACAAAGATGCTGTCCCTTCAGTGTGTCCCTCCTGCAGGGAACCCTGCGATGGTCACACCCTCCTTCCCTTGGTAAAGGACAGCCAGGGCCTGAGCTCCCCCTGCTTTTCCCGCAGCCAGCGGATGGACAGAGCACTAATGCTGCCCCGGGCTGTCCCTGCCGCCTTTTGCAGATCAGCGAGTTTCCAAAGCCAGCTTTCGGGAAATGAATCTCCATGTCGTCTTAAAAAAAAAAAAAAAAATCTAAAAACTTAATATCTAAAAATTATATACTCCCAATACATTTATAACTGATGTTCAAACACAGTTACAAACATAGTACTATTGTTTTCCTAATTTTTATTTCTCGGACACTCTTTCGCCATCCTCCCACTAGGTCTGATTCTCCTTACTTAGGTATTAGTACTTAGTTATCCTAGAAAATCAATTACAAGTAGCATACACAGCACCTTCCTATAATTAATAGAGCCCCAAGCTGCGCTGGCAAGTAGCTTAGAACAAAACGCAGCACATCGCGTGGTCAGCCAGCAGCTGCATTCCCCGGCCTCCCGGGACGTGGGTTGGAGAGCAGCCCAGTTTGCATTCCTTTAAATTGGTCCCCGTAGGAACTGTGATGATGTTAGGTCACTGACCTTCAGTAATTACAGCTGTGTTGTCTAATAAAACTTCTGAAATATGCAAATCTGTGCTATCCAGTACAGTACACACTAACCACATGTGGCTATTAAGCTGGTATAATTAGTGTGACTGAAGAAATGGAAATGTAGCTATATTTGCTTTTAATTAATTTGAATAGCCCCATGTGGCTGGTGGTTACTGCGCTAATAAGCACAGAATTAATCTTGCTACATAGCCCCTGTTGTACTGCATGGCTGCCTGTGCTTCTGAGCTGCACCTTTCCCCAACAAGCTTTTGCATAGAAATATCTTTTCCGCAGGCTTTCAGGGCCACCATTGGCCTCAGATTCCGAATGTGGCTTCAGCCAGAAATTGCAAAGCTCTCCCCACTCGAATCTAGGGCCTCCTTCCCACCCCACAGCCCATGCCCTACTGTAAATGCACCTGTGGCCACTTACTGCCAAGAATTGTAAAGGGAATTTGGGATGCAGTAAATACCAGCCCACAGGCAGCGGCTCCGTGTGGGTTTTCCTCCCATTTCCGGCCTGTTATATTCAGGGCCAGTAGGGTCTCCAATTTCAAATTGCCTTGATTTTCTTGGCACACAAAATCTCAAGTCTGGTGAACCATTTCAAAAGCTAGCAGGGCGCCAGACGAGGTTGTACATGTGGGTCTGTAGCTTCATGTTCTCCTCTGATTAAAGAGGGGTGGGTCTTGCTGGGTAGTCTGTCGCATGCCGAGCAGGCACCCTCCCCCTTGTCCCAGCCCTCTGGCTGATGAACTTTGCTGCAGAAAGTTCTCCTTCAAGGACCAGTCATTTAGAAGAAAGCTGTTTTATTTTTATAGGAAAATGAAAAGATGGTTGTCAAACTCTCAGGACACTGAGCTCATTATTGCTGACCCCCAGCTGCCCTCTGTCTGGGGCAGTCTTGTCCTTGGTACAGTGTGTCCACAGCCAGGAACACTCATGGACCAACCCAGGGGCCAGGAAAGAAAGAACTCTCCCAAGGGCCGAGGGAGGATGCTTCTTATGGGATGGGTCTTCTCTGCCGGAAATTCTGGGGGCTGGCGATCTGGCAGTCAGTTCTCACTGTGGATAGTGGGGTACTACTGTCTGTGTGGGCCTTTAGAGCTCTTGGACCATTACTCATTCTCTTCCTGTGTCTCTGCCTCTGTCTCTGTCTCTGTCTCTCTCTCAAAATCATAGTGCAATAAAGTGGATTATAACGTATTTTGAAAGTACTGATTGCTTAAGCCAACATGTAAGCTAGAATCAGGGAACATAGATTATTAAAAACAAAAATCCAAGAAGACAGAAAATAACCCTATCTTGAGTCTTAAGAGAACCTCTGGTCACCAACGTCCTTTCCAGTCAGTGCAGTTAGCAAGGAGTTGTGGAAGGCAGGAAGCAGGTGTGTGACGAGGTTGGTGATGACGCCTCTCATTCCAGAAAGCCGCTCTGCTCTGGTAAGTCTGGGGCTTTCTCTGGAGGCAGCGTTGTGGAGATAATGACCTGCCCTTACACACTGACCCTCAGCCTGGACTCCAGAGGAAAGTTCCAATAAATCAGAGTAAAAATCTGCCTCTCATATACCAGGAAATTAAAAATTTTTTTTTTCTTTCCCCATACCCCGCCCCCATACCACATGCCAAAGGTGTACACTGGTAACCATGGCAACCTTACAGCTCATAAGAAAATAACTCATTGGAGTGGTCCTCTCTGAGCCATCGGGTCAGAAAGGCCTAGATGGGCTACCTGTCAGCTCTTCCTGCTGTCTGACCGTGCCCCAAGATAGAGGACCCCCTACACAGCTTTCCAGCCAGGATGCGACAGGACGCCCAGGAGGTCTAGTCTTTAACCATGAATTCAAAACATGATCAAGGAAACTTGTACTATGTAGTTGTAGTTGTAGTTACATAAGCAGGTACAACTCAAGCAGTTCATCATTCACTAGGGTAAGAGTTGATTTTTATATAATAAAACTAAACCAATGGAAGAAATCCTTTCCTCTTGTTTCTTCTTTCTCCTTATTTAAATGTGAAAAGTCAAAGAAACCGGAAATCCCCCCAAAGGAGCAAAAGGGGTATGACTGGGACCATATTCCACTGTTTCTAACCTGTTCTCTCACCTGTCATCTTCCCGTTAACCACGCTGGATAAGACTGAGGGTAGAATCTCCAGACTGTTATTCCCATAACCATTGTGTCAAAACTGAGTTGAGGGGCTGGGAGCATCGCTCAGTGGCAGAATGCTTGCCTTATATGCATGAGGCCCTAGGTTAGATCGATCTCTAGGATCAAAGGAGGAACAAAAAGAAAAAGAATGGAAGAAAGGAAAAAAAACCTGAGTTGGAGGATTGTGGGAGGACAGAAGAGAACGTTTCAACAGCTCTTTAAACAAAAGTAATTCCTTCTCTCTTCAGGCACATAAACGGGTGCACCTTAGGTATTATTCATGGTGAGCAATTACGTGACCCTTGGTATTTTTTGTGGGGGGGCTGGTTCCAGGACCCCCCCCCCCCACTGATATGAAACTCCTGAGCTGCTCAGTCCTTGCTATAGGATAGCATAGCATTTGCACGTAACCTATGCACCTCCTCCTCTGTACGCCTTCACAGACACACGTTTCTGTGGGGGGGGGTTGAGTGTGTACTTTGGGAGGAGGGTACTGGGGATTGACCCTAGGGCCTTCACATACACTTAGCACACTCCGTACCACTGAGTTACTGCCAGCCCCTTAATATCTAATATGGTGTAAATGCTGCGTAAATAGTTGTTATACTGTATTATCTAGGGAATATTGCAAGGAAAAGTCTACATATTCCGCACACATGCATTTAAATTTTTTTTGCCATCCTCTCATGGTCGAATCCATAGAACCCATGGTCATGGAGGGCCTACTGCGCTGCGGTTGAACACAGATTTTCTAGAGAAAGAAAAGTGCCCAAAGCAGGGCAGGGGGCAGAATGGAAAAGAAAATCCAACGATCCCATCTCCACAAACAGCAGCCAGCCCCCGGCTGGAGCGGGGAGAGTCTGGGAGGGACCGGACTCCCGAACACAGGGCTCTGTGGACAGTGGACAGTCAGACCCAGCGTGGCCCGTCCACAGGGAGGCAGGGCCTCTCTCACTTCCGCTTCCAAGGCAGCCTTGGCGAGGTGCAGCCGAGGGCGCTTGCTCGGCTGAGGTCAGCCCCAGGCTGCAGGCTCCCGGTGCTCAGGGCACAGCCCGGGGCTGACGGGGAAGGCGTTGCACTCACCACCACAGAGGCACGCACAGGACCCCGGGCAGAGTCAGCGCCAGCAGCAGCATCCGCCAGTCTCTGATGAAGTAAGCAAACAGGGGCAGCAGCATGTAGCCAAGTGCAAAAAATGTGCACACTCCTAAGGTGGAGTATATAATACGAGCTGACTTGCCAAGGATTTCTGTTCCTGTTTAAAACAAGGGAGGAGTATTAGCGTCTGAGCCCACTGCCGTATCTGCTTTGCATATAATTACCTTCAAGTTGGAGTTCAAACTGTGGCCACTCAGCAAGGGGAAAAGCTGTGCACTTCATGTTCCAGAGCAGGAGTGGTGGGGGGGGGAGGTGGAGAGGGGTCCAAGGTGGGTTTTCATGAGATTTTTAAAGGAGCCTTAGGTTTGCTTTGTTTTGCGTTTGCTTCTTTTGAGATGGGGTCTTGATATATTGCCCAGGTGGGTTTGAACTTGTAAGATCAAGTCTTAGAGAAAAAAATCTGGAAATCACACTCAGAATCCTCCAAGAAGTCAGGCCCCCTAGGTTGAACCTGGAACCTTTGCATTGAGTTGTATCCCTAGCTCTTTATTTTTCATTTATTTTGAGTTGCAAGGCTGGGCTTGAATTTGTAGCCTCACACCCCCACCTGCGGGTGCTGGGATTTTAAGTTCACACCCTCATGCCCGGATTAGATTTGCTCTTTGAAAGTCCATCTCATGTCCCAGGAATGTCATCTCCAATTGCAGGAGATAATCCCCTCTGGGAATGCTGCATTTCCAGAAACAGAGCTCCTGCGGGAGCCACAGAGGCTTCCTAGCCCCCGGGAAGGTGGCTCTTCTGAGGTGCTGTGTGGGGTCAGGGCACGGTTAGCTTGTCCATGTCTAAGTGTAGGTAAACAGACACTGGCCCAGCAGGAAACAAAGGAAGCTCCCAGTTTCCTAGCTGTCGGATGCCCTTTCTCACTCCGAGTCCCGAGACGCGGTAAACAGGAGCCAGCCAGCTCTGGAGGAGCAGAACTGGCCCCCTGTGCCGGGGCTCACTTCCCCACAACCACGCTGTGCCTGGAGATCAGCCCCAGCCGGAGGCAGTGCTCTCAGACTAGGGCAGGAACGACATTGCTGTCCTGCCCGCCCTGCAGGTAGCTGCCCCGGAGCTGGCCACACATCCGGGGAACTCCTGAGCTTTTCCAGAACAAAGGCTCAAGGCCCTGAGGCGGCTGGCACTGTTTGGGAAAGGACACACTGGCCTCAAGTTTATAGACTGAGAAATGCACTGGGGAGGTGAGCCTGTGTCTGCATTATGGGAAGCAGAGGCTCACGGCACTGGCCTTTTCCATCAGCCTGGCCTCTACGGTGCTTGCTTAAGATGGAACCACTGAGACGGGTGGCTCAGTTCTACTGAGAGGAACAAGGGGGCTGTGACAGGGACAGGACTGCAGAAGTAGCAATGTCGTGCTTCTTTGGAATTAATCTTTGTCTGTGCCTGGGGCATATAAATATGATTAAGAAAATCTTTCTTCAAAGCCAAGCTATGTGGACCTTTGAATTTGTCTGTGTTGTGTTTTCTGTGCTAATACTTCTGCACAGTCCTCCCCCTGGGCCAGAGGACCTAGAATGGACTCTGGGAAGGCCTGGAGCACTAGAACCAGAGGAGCTCGCTCACCAACTCCCTGTCTCAAGCCAAGAACAAGGGAGGTGCAGTGTGGAAGAGCCAGTGCTGAGTGGTCGGTCCACGATGGTGCTGAGCAGAGCTGATGGAGAAGGCCAGTGCCGTGTGCCTCTGCTTCCCACAACGCAGACACAGGCTCAACTGTATTTCTGTCTCTAAACTTGTGTCCAAGTTGGGGGGCCGGTCTTAGGCACTTCCCTTGTTGCTGGGACTCAATAACCAACATCCACAACCTAAGGGAGGAAAGCTTTACTTTGGCTCACATGTCAGTCTGTAGTAGGCTGGCAGCCAGGCAGGAGGGCATGGCAGAGGGGCATGGAGGAGGAGAGCGGCTCGGGCCATGGCGGACAGTCAAGGGAGGAGCCAGGAAGGCAGACAGAACCTTCCAGGTCACACTCATGGTGACCCGCCTCTCCCAACCAGGCCCCACTCCTAACAGCAAGCCAGCTATGAGGCCCTGTAATCCACTCACCTCCCAAAGGTCCTGCATGTGATCCCATGGGGTTTTAGGGGGACATCTAGATATAAACCATAACCAGGCCTGACTTCTTGGAGGATTCTGAGTGTGATTTCCAGATTTTTTTCTTATTTTTTGAATGACTTTCCTACCAAGGCCTGGTTTCTAAACCCAGGAGCTGTGAGGAACATATGAAAATGAATAAGGAGTGCTATGTTCCTAAGCAGAACTTCACAAACGGATCTGATCATGGGAAAGGAAAATGCATGGGAGCAAGCGAGCATCTTGTAGAATGGTGAGCCAGAGGCTCCTCATCCCTCATAACCTTGAGAAGAGAAGAGGGAGAGAAGGTGCACCACTGGGTTCTGGATAAACTCCTTCACTAAGCTTGGGTCTTAGACCAGAACGAGTTGTTATAACTGTACAGAGTCTCCATGGGGAAAGGAAGCTTGGTAAATCTGCCTCTTTGCCTGGCTGTGGAATAACATGAGTAGTTCAAACCCGGATAAGTCCTTATCAGCACTACCTTCTGCTCTCTGACTTAGGTGATCACTTCCTAAAACATCATTACCGCATCACCACCAGCACCATCATCCCCACAGAGGGCACTGTTTTTGGAGTATGTACTCTGAGCTGGGTTCTAGGCTAAGTGTTTACATCTATTATATCTTTGGACTCTTCAAAAACAGTTATATAAGAATGAATGTTACTACTATTTTACACTGACTCAGCTGAGACTTAAGCAGTTAACATCAATTACATAAACATATACTCATAATAAGTGATAAACCAGGGTTTAAATCATATCTGTTTGACCTATGGATACTGGTGTAGTCTCCAAGAAAAAAGACCAGCTAGGGCAAAGCCTTGGTCCGGTACTCATGATCCTTGAACTGAGACATGAGTGGAGACTTGACGGGAGAGGGATGAGGCTGTATCCACCTCTGGGAAGTGAGGGTTTTCATCTTCCCTTCCTTGGCTCATCACTGCACCGGCTGGAGTCCAGCCAGCGCCTTTGAGGAGCACTAGGAGGAGAGCCCAGGTTCCTGGGACCTCAAGGCCTGCAGCTGCCACAAGCACCTTGAGTTCAACTGGCAGTGACACAGAGGGCAGGGGTCACTCCTGACTCTGCTGAGTAGGGAACCCCCGTCCTTCTCCGTCTCCCCTATAGAGTTTTGCTGTAGGACACATTCCGGGTGGTCTTAGTCTGGCTGGGATCTGAGTGTCTCCTGAGAATGAAACTCTGACATCTAAGCCATTGGGGCATGTCTGGGCTGGGACGAGAGCCCAGTAGCTCTAGGAGAACTTTCCCACCAGTTGTCACCTTCTCCTGGATTGGAGCACTTCCCAAGACGGACTGACTCAGGGCCAGGCTCCCTTCTGTGCAGATCAGGAACTTTCTGTGGCAGTCAGTCCCAAGAACCATCAGGCACACGCTGTGTGGGGGACTTAGCTGCCCATCAGGGCCAAAGGCTGCGGCTGACCCCAGCTCAAGAAATGAAACTGCAGTGCAGCTGCCAGGATGTGGGCACAGCAGAGAGCACCCAGCAGGCACATGGAGGACACATGGCTCCTTAATGCCAAGTCCTGGCTACAGTGACTTGAGTTATAAGGACGGAGACACTGTTTGCAAACTGCCCAGCAGTGTGCTCAGCCCTCTATCCGGTGCAAGGGTCGAAGTGTGCTAGACGGCAGGGGTGACAGGAGTACGGTACCGCGGCCCAGTGGGAAACCTCTACTCCCTAGCAACTGCTCAGAGAGCTCATCAGATTAGTAAGTGCTCTGCTCAGGGCACCCTAGGCTGAAGGGACTTCCTGTCTCCGCCTGTGCCCAGCAACGCTATCTACACCACTCTTCCCCATGACCCTGTCCTCTGCTCAGCCAGGGAGGGACTCTGAGTCCTTGTCCTCCCCGGCTCGCCCCTGCTCCTTTCTTGGGAGAATGCAACGCAAACAAGGCAAGTTCTGTACCATGTTTATGTATTTATACCTCAACTTACTCCTTGAAGATTTTGAAGCAGCCCATAATTTAAATACAATGGTACTATTATGTAAAATGCTTTTAAAAGTAAACACTTGTGCCTTGAATGAAAAAGCACAAATATGTAATTGATCACTTTGTAAAAAGTCTGGCAGTTCCTCAAGGGATGAACATAGGAACTGAAAATATGTCCACACAAAAACTTACATTAAAATGCTCACAGCAGCATTATTCCCAATGCAGCCAAAGTGGAAATAGACCAGATATCTCCTAATCAGTGAATAGATGAGCAAAATGAATGTATTCATACAGTGGAATATTGATTCATGCTACAACATGGCTCACTCTTGAAAACATTGAGAGAAGGAAGTTAGTCCCAAAGACCACTCACTGTATGATTTCATTTGGATGAAATGTCCAGGATGGGCAAATCCATAGAACCAAAGTGGATCAATAATTACCAGAAGTTAAAAGAGGTCCTAAGAGCAGGGCCTCGATCTGATGAGACTGCTGTTCTTCTAAGAAGAGATACCCTCTGGGCATGGTGGCACACACCTACGATCCCAGCACTCTGAGAGGCTGAGGCAGGAGGATTGTAAGTCAAGCCCAGCCTCAACAGCTTAGTGACTTAGTTAGTGAGTCTTCTCTTAAAATAAGAAGGAAGGAAGGAAGGGAGGGAAAGGAAAGGAAGATGGAAGGAAAGAAGGAAGGAAAGAAGGGAAGATAGGAGGAAGGAAGGGAAAAAGGGAGGAAGGAGAGACAGAAGGAAGGAAAAAATAAATCAATGAAAGAAGGAAAAAGAAAGAAAGGCTGGAGAGAGAGACAGAGAGAGAGAGAGAATGCAGCAATATACTATGCCGTGCTGCACAGAGGAGGCTGTGTGACCACACAGGGAGAGGCAGCCACGTTCCCCCCAGCAGGGGGAGCTCTCCCCAGTCCAGCTCCAAAGCTCTCTCACCTTGGACTTCTATTCTCCAGGACCGTGGAGAACACATTTTTCTCATTGAAGTCACCCCAGCCTATGGTATTTGCGTATAACGTCCCACCTGAGTGACTCAGTCAGAAATACATTCCAATTTCAAAGCATCTGGGGCTGGAGTTAGAGCTCATGCTACAGCAGTTGCCTAATACCCGTATGGCCTTGGGCTGCATTTGCAGCACCACACAAAAAATGAAAACTTACAAAAAAAACAAAAAACAAAAAACAAAAAAATCTACATATAAAAGCTGCACAATTAATGTAGCTCAATTTACAACTTGCCTGAGCTTCCTGAGCCCAGTTTATAAAGGAAGAAGCCACTAGTTACACATTCATTGAAAGGGGAAATAGCTAGGTATCAGAGGAAACAAAGCTTTAAACAGTTCGGTGTGTCCAAAGACACGTCACATGGAAGGCTGAGGTGAGGAGTCCTGAAAATACTGAATGAAGAAGTCCATCAGGCAGGAGGCAGCTGTCCCTGCAGGAGACACGTAAGCAGCTGGTTATGGAGGATGGGAGATGCCATGGGCTTTTACCCAGTGGGCTGGAAACAGGCTCAAGGCATTATTTCTGAGAAACACAGGGAGACTATGAAGGAGTCAGGGTGTGGGTAGGATCAGTGTCTGATGGAGACCACTACAAAGCAGCTCTGAGCAGGACTTAAATTAACCAACTGGCTTTCCATGTTTACTTGTGAGTCTGTCCAAGGCCTAGGCTCCTTGTCTGGAGATAGGTAGTGGATTCTGTGAGTCACTGATTGATACTGAGACGTGTAATGGTGGGTGAAGCTGTGAAGCCTCAAAGGATAAGGCAAGGTCACAGCCTGGATCCAACCTCAGCTAGATAAAGACTGTAACCTCAGGCATCTCACTCTTGGGTGGATTAATTTAATACCTTACTTGGAGGAGTCCTTGAGTGGATCCACCCTGCTTGAGTACTCCCCTCCCTTCTTCTGATAACCAAATAAATATGGGCCACCCAAGGAAGGTTGTGATCTTAGCCCTGAGAGAATCGTGAATTCTGTGAGAGGGCTTTGATCCTCCCGGAGCCCTGAAATCATTCCATTTGCCTCTTTTTATTTAGCCTTCGCTGTACACTTGTTCAGGAGATTGTGGACCTGATCAGCCCACAATAACTACGGGATATTATTAACCCGATAGGTGTTCTTGGCTCTGAGTCCTCACTTCTTATTAAATCAGTGTCCTGCTGGCAGGACTATCCCGGCAGGTGTATCTACCTTACGTTGCTTTGGACAGCACCGTTTTTTTCCGTGCATTTTCTAGAATCCTATGAGTTTCAGTTTGATGATCTTTTTAAAAGCAGCACTAGGAGAGAACTTGTTTCTGATTTTTGTTTTGTTTTTAGTCCTGGCACCTGAACCCATTCCTTTCCCTTTTTTATTTTGAGATAGGCTTTTGCTAAGTTGTCCAGTTGCTCAGGTAGGGCGCACACTTGCAGTCCTCCTGCCTCAGCCTCCCAGAGTGCTAGGATTACAAGCGTGCACCACCATACCTGGAGTATGTGCATCTCTTTAGGATGTAAAACTGTGCACAGCTGGTTAAGTCAGTTTTCTAGTTTAATGGGAAGATTCCTAACACTGGCGCTTATTACTGAAGATCCGAGGGCAAGCAGAAGAACTTAGCTAGACCCTATCCTTTGATTTATTTGAGTCGCATCAGACCTTGTTGGTTCGACCTAGCCCAAGGAAAAAAATGAAAATAATTAGAATTAAATAAAACAAAACCTGAAATTTGGTTTGAAACACCAGAGGGCGCTCCCGAAACACCAAGGGGCCCTGAAACAGCAGAGGGCGCCCCTGCACTGTGGGGAAGCCACCAGCCACCAGCGCTGCGCTCTTCCCTCCAGGCCCTGACTGCTGAGTCCAGCTGTTCTGGAACAGTCTGGACTTTCAGTGACACTAAAGCCTTCAGACTCGGAAACCCCACACAACCAGTCTGATACCAGGACCCCAAGTCCCTAGTGCAACAGGCATGGCAGGAGCTGACAGGAGCCCTGTGCAACCGGCGGCCCTCGCACCAACGGCCCTCGCACCAACGGCAAGCTGAGCACATCTAGGCTCAGACTGACCCTCAGCCTCTTATACGTCACAGCCCTGTGTGTGAGACTGCAGACTGTGGGGAGCCAGGAGGGCAGTGGACTGTAGCGCCAGGGCCCGCAGGGCAGATCTTTCCTGAAGGAGCCTGCGGTCTGCCCTCCTTGCCTCACGCACTCTCAGAGGAGAGACTCCAAGCCTCAGACACATGCGTGTAGTGCAGAGGCAGGTTTACTTCTGCAGAACCTGTGCACACCACTGCCTGGCACACCCCCACCTTGGTCCTGATGGCTGCTCTGGCTTCCATCCATTAAAGACAGTGCCCAAGTCCTCCTATGATATGGGCCAGCTGGCCAAGGGCTGAGTCCTCTGTGCTGGGGAGGCCTGTTCAGTTTCTGGGATGGCTTTGGCCCAAGCAGAGCACCTAGTCGGGCTTTTCAGATATAGGGAGGGTCACCACAGGAAGAAGGATCCTGGGGACTTAGAAAACAAGGACAGCCTTTGCTAGGCCTAAGAGTCCTGTGTCCTCAGGGCCATCAGCCGTTAGGAGGCTACAGTTTCTGTCCCAAGTCCATCTACTCCCCAGTTTCTAGTACCATTGGCATGCAGCTCCCTGTGCTTGCCACACAAATGATCTTAAAGTAGATCTTGTTCCCTCCTCCCCTCTAGGCAGGACAGCAGCCTCTCCTGCCCGGGTCTACTGAAGTCTGCTATCTGAGGGACCATGTGGCGTCAGCATGTTCTCCTCTCCCCAACCCTCCCCTCAGTACACACCCAGACTGGGCCTGAGGCAAAGAACCCTTCACAAATAATTGAAGGAACGGAATTTGAAAAATTCCACCTTGGCAATCTGACAGAGGTTGTCCACGTCTTCATCTGAGGTAACACCACATCTCCACAGCCAATGCATCATCAAACTCTTGAAAACAGTGAGTCACCCAGCCAGGTGCAGACTTTTGAAACAGGAAGAATCATTATATTCCAATTAAAGGGTGCTACTCATAATTACACGGTGACAATAGATGTAAACTGGGGTAGTGCCAGGCCAACGAGAACGAGTATACTAAAACTGCAGGGGTTGGTGTCTGCTGTGCTGGAGGTGCCCTTCACCTCCCCGCTTCTCATCTGCCCACATCAAGGGCTCAGAGAGAATGTTGGGGGCTCACTCCTGAGGGTGGCCTGACCAATTCATCTACAGCGCCCTTCATTTCCTCTCCCAGAAAAGCTGGAGAAGGCTCTGGGGCCTCTTCATAGCCTTGTAACTGATGACTTTCCGTCTGCAGCCTGGTGTTGCTAGCCATAGCCTAGCAGTAGCAGGCCTGTTATCAGCACCGTGAGCTGGTCCTGCACAGAGCTGATATACTCGAGGTTGGTGCTGACTTTGGCAAGGCCTGATCTGCCCAGATGTACTGTTGTTAGTTCCTCCTGCCTGACAAGGTGCCTTTCCACCTGTGTAGCAGCCCCACCCACTGTCCGAAGTCCCTTCTGAGGCAACCAGGCAGGAGCCTCAAGCCTTCACAGCCCTGACCAAAGACATTCCCAGGCTGTTCTTCCCTCAGCATCCCCTCATCTGTGTTTCTCCCAAGCCTTGTGTTCCTAAGAATGCGTATGTTATCGTGTGTCTGGTTTGGTCTCCTTCCATGGCCAACGGCAGAGGTGGTTCCCTGGGATACCTGCCCTGTCCGTGACCGGCCTAAGGAGCCAGTGGCTGCGGCTCCCACCTCAACACACATATCCTTAAGGCTGCTTGAGCTCTGGAGGCTTACCCTAGTGTCCCCCTCCTTCCTGGCCTTTCAGAAGGCTGAAGGGAGGAACACTGTGTCTCAGAAGACATTCCTACCTAGTATGAAGGCCACCACATAGTTGGAGATCTGGCCCATGCCCACGATGACAAACAGCACTGTGAACATTTCCCAGTTGATGGAGAAAATCTGCAGGAAGCTGAAGCCAGTTTGCACAGCCATGGTTGCGAAGAGAATGTTCTTTCTTCCAAACCTGGGAAACACAGTATAACGTAAGACATGAGACATGCCGGCTGCAGCAAGGCAGCAGCTCAGTGTGTCACAGTTTATATGTGTGGAAGGTGATTGGAAGGGGCACTGGCAGATTCACCCACTGTGAATGCAGTAGCTGGATGTGCTCTGGGGAGGAGGGCCTGGTTAGAGGTGGGTCCCTGGAGGTCTGGCTTGGAAGGGGATATTCTCAAGCCCAGTGGGGCCCCCTTCCTGGCTGCTATCAGTTGAACAGCTTTCTTCTGCCAGGCGTAGATCCCCAATCGTTACTGGGCTGATCTCTGATGAAAGAGGACTCGTGACGCACAAGGAGAGGGCTGATAACCACTCTGTTTATTTTACGAGTGTTCTGTCTTATATACTCAGTGGGAACAAAGGCGTCCCTTGAGGAGTCCTAAAGATATTTTATGAAAAGTACATGTTCTACTTGCACTGATAGCATTGGGAACAGCACAGAAAATGTGCCCATATCCTGCAACTGCAAGGCTATGGCCTTCTTCCAAGTCACACCATGCTCGTCTCCAGAGTCCTTGGCTGGCCCTAAGCTGACCCTACAGACAGGCCACATCTACAGCTTAGATGAAGGTGCTTCATATATATATTTTCAGTGCTGACTTCCACAGTAGGCCCTCTCATCATGCTATTTTTTGTTGTGGAGCTAGCTGACAAAGGACTGAAGCCTTGAGCCTAAACCTCTCCTTTATTTTGTAGGTATCAGGTATTGGATCCCAGAGATAGAAAATGTCTAAAGTAGAGTTTGGTACCAAGACTAGGGTCATTGTTGTGACTATACATAATCATGTGGTTCAGAAGCCTTTGGAATTAGTTTGCAAGAGGTGTTTGGAAAGGTTTGGAGATGTCAGGTAGAAAAGCCTTAAACACTGTATGCGGATTGGTGGGAGATTCTGGTTGTAGCTCAGAAGATCAGAATGCTAATGGAATGCAGAGAATAAAGGCCAAGCACAGGAAGTTTCTGTTGTGAACAACTCCACTGGCAGTGGAGCTACAGGCCATGTGTGTTATACTCTGGAAGAAAATGTGTCTTCATTTTGTACATGTCTTAACACTTTGCAGGAGATTGACAGTAAGGGCAGTGGCCGAGTTAATCTTTCTGAGGAAATTTCAAAGCATCCCTACATTCAGGCTGTGGCATGGGTGCTAAAGGCTACTTTTTAAGCAGACCTACAGTGAAAACCAAAAGCCAAATGCAGATGTGAAAAGTTTGTAGTTTCATCGGAAAGATGCACCTGCAAAGTTGGAGCCTTGAAGAGTGTAATTGCTAAAAGAATAAGCATTAAAAAGAAGCCAAGTACTTTGCATGAGGACAGTAGGAAAGATGGCTTGAAAGCATCTCAGGAATCAGCAAGGCCCCACCCTTCACAGGTTTCAGGATGTAAAACTATAAAGCTTTCATTTGAGAAGAGACCTCCTGGGCCCCCTGCTTGAGAGGGGCTAAAGTGGTCTGTTGGGATTCTTTTCACAGTGCTCAGCCATCCAGACACTCAGAGGCCTCTGCAGCCATGATCTAAGGGAGCCTAGGTACTGCTGAGCTGGCAGCAGACCTTGGAGTCACCCGTCTGATGCTGGCTTTACAGGCATGCAGGATGCAAGAAGTATGGGTCATGGAGGTTTCCACCAAGATTTCAGAAAAAGGCATGGGGAGGACAGATGGTGTGCCTGCTGAGAGAGCAGCATGTGACGCTGTGACCGTGAAACTAAAAGTGCACTGGAGACCTCAGGAAGTTGGAGATGCCGGGAACATGGTATGTTTGCTAAGGAAAGCCATAGGCCGCGAGCAGGGCCACCTGAGAGAGGCCATGAGAGCTGCAACTGGCAATGCTATAGGACAATTGCTGAATCCCTTTGGAGTGCACGTCTCACCACAGCTTAGCCCAGGTGCTGAACATGGTGCTACAGCATTTAACATATGCCCCGCTGAGGATTGGTTCTGCTTTGGTTAGATTTCTATCTTTTCTTTTATACCTCCATTTTTGGAACAGGAATGTTTATCCTGTGCCATTGTATGTTGGAAATATTTAACTTTCTTTTTGATTTTTATAGAGATTCACACCTCAGAGTTTGCCTTGAGTCTCAGAGCAGACTTTGAACTTGGGCTTTTTGGTGGTACTGGAACTGTTAAGACTTTGTCAACTCTCAGAGGTAGACTAAGTGCGTTTTTCATAATGAAATGGACATGACCCTTTGGGGGGCTTGGAGTAGAATGTTCTAGTTTAGCTCTACAGTGTCCCCCTAGAGTCCCATGTATTTGGAGAGAGGTTGAATCATAGGTGGGCTATGCTCATCAGTGGCTGTGCTGTTAGGAGATGAGGCCTGACTGGAGGTGGGTCACCAGAGGTGTGGCCTGGGAGGTGTATTCTTGGTTTGCTCTTCCTCTCTCTCCTTTCTGGTTGCAATGAGTTGAGCAATTTACCTCTGCCATTCACTTGCACCATGACATTTTTGCCCTTGGAGCCAGCCAACGTTGGACCGAACCCGCTGGGAACTATGAGTCAAGTCACCTTCTCCCCTTTTAAGTTGGGAAGATTGGGTATTATGTCCCAGTGATGGAAAAGAGACTGAAACAGGGTGTGTGGCAAGCTCTAAGCCAGGAAGTCACAGTGACTTTGTCTCTTCCTGGGACTGGGAAGATTTTCCCTTTTGTACACTGCCAACTTTCTCCTTGGTGAGGCCTTTGGTATTTGTCTCCCAGGACCAACCTTTGGAGATTCTAAGCCTTGTGAAAAGGCCCCAGATCTCAAAAGCACAGAGAAACATATGCAAGGACCATATGGAAATCTGCTCTGTAGAAGGAGCCACAGGTAGAATTTGCCACCACGTTTCTGGAAAGTGGGTACACACAGATTGCAAATAAGTCTTACATGGGAATTCTGTGAATCCAGAACCAAGAATCTCCAAATGGCAGTGGTTTTATAACTTGGCAGCACTCAGACTCACTCAGAAAGCTTAAAAAATACAAACAGTCCCTGATTTAATAATGATTGGATTTAGGATTTAAAAGATTTTTATAATGGAGCACAAGTGATGTATGTGTACAGCAGAAACCCTGCTTTGATTTTTGGATTTTGATTTTCTCCTGGGCCAGGGATATGTACTCTATTTTAATTCTGCACAATGGCAGCAAGCTGCAGCTCCCAGTCAGCCCTGCCATCAACTAGCACTACAGTTTCCTGTACTGGGAGCTATGACACCCAGTAGGTCAGGTGTATTATGTGTATGTCCGACTTGGGATATTTCCAGCTTATAATGGGCTTCTCAGGACAGAACTCCACTGTAAAGTCAAGGGCTAACACTCCTTGGTCCTCATTCCACACCATGCAGTTTGAGTACTGAGATTTTAAGTTTCTCACATGAATTTCATGGGCATCTACGGGAAGATGGAGATTCCAGCCATGCCTGTGGTGGTTCTATAGTCATCTTAAGTGTTAATTTCACATTCTGGTAGTGACCGATGTGTCAGAGAGAGTGCAGGTGGGAGCAAAACAGCCTCGTCCTCAATTTAAAACATTCAGGTATCTGGCCGTTTGCTGGAGGTCGCATTGAGCTTTGACGCTGGGGGAAGAACAATCACTCCTCTGGAACGTCTTGCCCAACACCACCATTTGTAACCCCCAGCTCTGCTGTAGTCACCACCGGACCCTCGGGCTGGTGGAACACATGCCTTGGTGTTGTGATGCTGTCTACTCCGGCTTGTGAGCCCCAGGACACCTAGATCCAGCCTAGGTCAGCTCTGCGGTCCCAGGGCCCAGTCAGGGCCCCAAAGTCCGGACCCAGGGAGTGCACAGCCAGTGCTCACTATCTGGCCTGATTCCGTTGAGGGATGGATCCTATGTCAACCACTACCTGCCCCCGACACAACTTTCAAGAGTCAGGGGCTGGGGATATAGCTCAGTGGCACAAGCACCTGCCTGGCAAATGGGAGATCCCGAGTTCGATTCTCGGTACCAAAAAAACCCACAAAAAACCAAAAAACAAAACATCAGCAGGGGTGATGGCAGCAGTGTGTTCTGAAAACAGGTGTGGAATGAGGATTCCACTTTCTAGTGGGATTGGTGGCCTCTCGCCAACCATAGCCAAAGCTCTGGAAGCACAGGCTGGGGGAAGAGAATGCAAGTGGCACAGGTGGGGAGGGCTGAGGACAAGGCTGCTCTGGTCACTGACTTAGTGGCTTGAAGGTCCTCCCATTCTCTGGGGGAGAAACACCCTGCATCCAGGCCGAGCCCAGGACAGGTAGTGAACCACCCCAACTTTTCCCCCTGCAGGCTCCTTACCTGTCTGATAGCTGTCCGGACACGAAGGAGCCAAGGAGCACGCCTACGAAGAACAGGGAGGCAGTGAGGGGCGTCTTCCAGTCATCCTCACACACCAGATTCCACTGCCAACAGAACAGCACGGAGCGTGAGCCAAACCCCCCTGCAGGTCCCACACCCAGCCCAGCTTTTAGGGAACGGAGGTGGCACCAGGCACGTCCTCCTCCCCTGTGCCGGCCTGCTACCTCAATGCAAGGGCACAGGCCTTGCAGCTCTGAGGCTGACTCCTGAGTACCATTCACATCGATGAGCGACGTCTTCTGAAAGGAAAGGTGTTGGCGCCTACTCTGCTTACGTTACAGAGAAAGAGGTCACGGCTGCACCTGGTGATACCTCAGCTGCAAAGCAGTGTGAGGAACAGTAGGCCTTGCCTTTTCAGGAGGCAGCCACACATGGCAGGGAGGGGTCTGAACAGCCTGAGGAGCAAGGCTGGGGCATGGTCATGTGATCTAGGGATAAAAAATGTCCTCCCCCATGTCACATAGTGCGGGGGGTCTCAGGGATGCTGTGTTTTTATTTTCTGAGCAGATTTCCAGTGGAAGCTCTGTGTGCCCTGCTCCATTCACACCAAGGCCAGGCTTGGGATTTGACCCAGGGCCCCACAATGCCAAACGAGGCCTCCCCACTCCTCTCCAGGGCTTCTGTCTCCCTTTCCTACACTCCTGCCCCTCCCCGGCATCTGGTGTCTCAGAGTGCGGTTCCTCCCTTCCCTGGGGATGGGCTGCTGTCACTCTGACAAGTGCCTGCTGGTGGGATCATAAAACGAGTTTCAGCTGGAGTTTCAGTTCCAGCTATGACTGAAGTCAGTTCAGCAAAATCTTAAGGGAGGTTGCAAAGATTTCAAAGTGTGTTTAATTACCTCTCATAAAAAAATTGAAAAAAGCAGGCCCATGAGTCTTTTGGGCTGGGAGTTGGGGGCAGGGGCATTGCTGTGATGTGCAGCTGAAAGGAAAGACCCTCCACCTCCCACCCGCCCCTCGGTGGTGATCCTGCTTCCAGGGCATCTGTAAAGCAATTCAGCGCTTATGCCTCGTAGCTGCCATGAAATTGCCATCGACTGCAACATGCATTTTTATATTTATGCCACACCTCATTTCTGCACAGAGAGAGGTGTTTCTAAAGACATCCACAAAAGAAAAGTATAAAACAAAAAGCTAAGGGGAATAAGAGAAAACAGAAAGGAACGAGCAGGGAAGATGCACAAGCCCAGGCACGGGTGAGACCGACCCCTGTTGTCCTCCCTCAGATCCACCTGCCCGACAGAGGGCTCCAGGGCTGGCCCCGGTCAGCAGCTCAGCTCCCAGATGCATCGCAGGACCCACATGGTCAACTTGCTGTGCAGAGGCACCGTTTTTCTTTTCTTTTCTCAGTTTATTTGCTTACTAGTACATGTTTGCAATACGTAATGAGCACATTTATCATGGGGAGTTGGTACATGAACACAACACATCTTAGTTCTTTTTTTTCTCATTCTCTTCACCGCTTCCTTGCTCCTTCCAACCCTTGGTCTCCTTCCCATTTGAAAAAACTCTGATTTCATTTTTTCTTCAATTCTTTTCTTTCCATCCCATTTCTCTCCCCTTCCTCCCATACCCACTTGAAAAAGATCTCCATACTTATCTCTATCTATCTATCTATCATCTATATTTTTTAGTTTTTTATATAAGAGAAACCATGCAATATTTAAGCTTATGTGTCTCACTTATTTCCCTTTATAGTACGATCCCAAAGTACATCCATATACCTATGAATGCCTCAAATTTATCTTTCTTTATGGGAGAGTAGTACTCTGTCAAAGTACCACATTTTCTTTATCCATTCATCTGCTGATGAGCATAAAGCAGTTTCTGAGATTTAGCTACTATAAACTATAACCATGGGTGTGCATGTATTCCTGTAATCTGATGACTTTGACTGTTTTGGGAAGATATCTAGAAGGGGAGCAGCTGGGTCAAATGGAATTTCTAGTTTTCGTTTTTTGAGGAATCTCCACAATGGCATCCACAGTGGTTGTACTAGTTTATACTCCCACCAACAATGCAGAAGGTTCCTTTTCCCCACAGCCCTGCCAGCATTTGTTATTAGATTTCTTTTATTTTTATTTTTATTTTTTATTTTTTGGTTTTTTTCCGGTACCAGGAACCGAACTCACGACCTTGCGCTTGCCAGGCAGGTGCTTTGCCGCTGAGCTAAATCCCCAGCCCCTTGTTATTAGATTTCTTGATGACAGACATTCTCGCTGGAGTAAGATGGTATCTCAGTGTTGTCTTAACTTGCATTTCTCTAATGACCAGTAATACTGAAAAATTTTTTCATGTATTTATTGGCCATTTGTACTTTTTCTTCTGAGAAGTATTTATTCATTTTGGTTGTTAATTTTTTGAGTAAGTCTTTTATTTTTTGAGGAGGTCTAATTTTTTTTTGAGTTCTTTATATATTCCAGACATTAGTCCTCTGAGGAATAGCTGGCAAAATTTCCCATTCTGGAGACTGACTCTTCAGTATGTTGGTTGTTTCATTTGCTGTGCAGAACCTTTTTAATTTGACCCCATTTGGTGATTCTCAGTATTATTTCTTAGTGGTACAGTTTTTCTGAGTACTGAGACCTGAAAATCTCTCTTATGTACCTTCTTCTACAAAAGAGCCACTCTGATGTGGAAGATAACGTCCTCAATGACACCCTTGTCTGAAAGACAATAGCGAGGGCCAGGAGGCTTCTCTCATTGTGCTCGCAATGCTGGCTCCAGCAGGATACTCAAGCTCTGCAGGAGAAAAGCAGTACAGACATGGAACTAGGACCTCCAACCATCAGCACAGTGCAAGGACACATCTGAGACCATACTCAGAGTAGGGTTGCCTCGCCTGGTTACAGTGTCTCCACTGTAGGGTTTTTATCATGAATAGGTCTAGACTTTGTTGAAAGCTTTTCCTACATCTATTGAGATGATCAAATGTTTTTTTCCTTTGGCTCTGTTAATATGGTGCATTACATTTATTGATTTATGTATGAACATTTGAACCATTTACAATTGAACCATTATATTTGAGCCATTATGTTTGAACCATCCCTGCATCCCTGAGATGAATCCCACTTGGTCCTGGTGTATAATCTTCTTGACGATTTGCTGCACTCTGTTTGCCAGTATCTCATTGAGGATTTTTCCATCCATGTTCATTAGGGAGATTGCCCTGTAGTTCTCTTTCTTAGTTGGTTCTTCTCTGGTTTTGGTATCAGGGTAATGCTTGCTTCCAGGAATGGATTTGGGAGTATTGCTTCCTTTGAATTTCATTAAGGAGTTTGAGAAGTAGTGTTGTTTGGTTTTCTTTAAATTTCTTGTAGAATTCAGCAGTGAATCCATCAGGGCCTGGGCTTTTCTTTGTTGGTAGGTTTTTAATTACATCTTTGATTTCATTGATGGATATTGGTTTATTTAGAATTTTTATATCTTTTTGATTTAGCTTTGGTAATTCATATGTATCTAGGAATCTGTCAATTTCTTCTGCATTTTCCATCTTACTAGAATACAAGTTTTCAAAGTAGGTAGAGCTGATCTTCTGGGTTGCAGGGTCCATTATGATTTTATCCATTTCATTCCTAGTTTCATGGATTTGAGTCTTTTCTTTCCTTTTTTTGATAAGGCTGGATAAAGGTTTGTCACTTTTATTTAATCTTTCAAAGAACCAACTGTTCAATTCACTGATTCTTTGTATTGTTTCCTTAGTCTCCAGGGTGTTCATTTCTGCTCTAATCTTTATAATTTCCTGCCTCATATGTGCTTTTGGCCCATCAATCAAGGAATAGATAAAAAAGATGTGGTCTTTTAATACAATAGAGTACTACTCAGCCGTAAAGAATGATAAGTTTGAGACTTTTATAGGTAAATGGATGCAACTCGAGACCATACTCATAAGTGAAATAAGCCAGACACACATGTGTAAACATCAGATTGTCTCCCCAGTGTGGGAAGCTGAAAAAGATCCAAAATGTACAATAGATATTGTAAAATGGGAAGACACTGTTCAAAAGGAAAGAGAAACTGGGATGGGGGAAAGGAGAAAAGAAGGGAAAAGCCAAACTCTAAAACACACTGAAAAAAATATCTATACAAGATAGTTAAGATAGTTACACTGCTAATTTCTCTTAGTTCATTGAAAAAAGGTTTGTGCTAACATTGTTTGGACAATTAAATGCCTATATCTCATACTCTAAGTAACTAATTTAAACATAGTAACATGCAATGAATGTATTAACCATTGTTACTCTCCTATTATCTTGTTTTGAAATTTTATTTTCTCACTTTAAAATAAAATTAGAAAGAAACCCTGCTAAAACTCATGTTGAAATGTAATCCCCACTGTAAAGTATTAAGAGGGTAAAGACTTAATCTGACCAAAGTATCCCTTGGGAGGTAATTAAGGTTAAATGAGGCCACAGGGGTGGGGCTCTAATCTAAAGGGACTATGACTTTTTATGGGGAACAAGACCTACACTGGCGGCGTGTGCTGCCCTCAGACTTGCAGAGTCCCCACCAGCAAGAAGGACCTCACTGATGCAGCCACCAAATCTTCCAAATCTTTGAATTTCCCAGCCTTCAAAACCTTGAGCTGAACAAACCTTGGTTCTTTGACAGTTGCTCTAGGACTAAGACACCCTGAGGTCCCTGAACAGGCTTGTGAGGCCAGGGCACTCGGCCCTCTAATACTGTATAGCCAAGTTCACGTGCTCTGCCAGCCCACAGATCAGAAGTGGTAGAGAAGACATGTGCCTGAACTAATGGCCACCTAGCTCCAAAAATAACTAGCTTTAGACGAGAGCTTGGAATCTGTCCCTGACACCGTAGAAACGAGTGGTTGAAGACCCAAAGCCAAACTGAAATTGCAGGACCCCTTGTTCCAAAACTAAGAAGTTCAAGACATCCATAGCAGAGCCCTGGAATCAAGTGTGGCATTCCGGAGAACTGCGCAGGTGGCATGACCACCAACTGCACCTGGCCCTGGCCCTGGCCCAGCCTGATCTCTCTGGAGAACAGAGCAGGGGTAGGAGCTCTGAACAGGGGCACTGATA